CAATCCTCCATTCCATGAACTACCAAAACTCCCTTTTGGCTTCAATGGGAATGTTGGGTGTATAAGGAAAACAGGATAGAGCCTTTTACAGGTTCTCTAGACCATCCCCTTGACCATGTCAAATTGTTCCCCAGCTGTATGTGTGTCTAGAGCTTCATCCAGTTTAGTATTAAACATTCCATTTTGAGATTTCCTCTAAGGAAATGGTAGAACATTTATAGTTTGGTTCTTTTTTTGAAAAGTGACCAGAAACAACATCTGAGGTTACATGTTAATTGTGTTTCAATTATTCTTCATAAGTATTCTCAGTTTATGAAGAAAAGCCATCCTTTTACAAGCACCAGCTCTACAAAATCAATCTGCCATTATACAATTCAAGCTTAGTTCCTGCACACTAACATATCATTAATAACAAATTCTGCTGAATAAATTCGGATTTCAATGACACCTGTGCAACCCCATTACCTTCAATGGGATTGCACAGGTGTAAACTGACCAGAAGTTAGTAAATAATTCTGTTGGTAAAGGAGAAATAGAATCCAGTTCTGTTTCTCTGACGTATACAGACTCTGAAGGGATATAAGAATAGATAAATTCGAAAAGTAAAGCTCTCACCTACATTGTTAAAATAATTTTATACCGATATTAAAATGTCACAGTCCTTTCAATATTAAAATAGAATGCGAACTACCTTGTGCATTATATTAAACTCCCGAGATATTCAATTTTCAACAAGATGAGCATTTCTGAGCATCTGTACACAGCAGTTTAAATTAGAAGTTATATTTTCAAACGTGTTGTTGTTGTTTATGGTGTAATGACCTTCTCACAATGAGCTCCTTCAGATTGCAGTGGTCAGTCACATGGATCCATTTTTTCATTAAAATGTATAAACACGGTGTCTCCCAAACAAAATACAGAGGCTCTCTCTTACTTCAAACCCCATTAAGCCAATTTTGGATTTGTCTTCAGCTGTGGATTAACATCCTGTTTATCCAAATGAACCCCAGGAACCTTACATAATTCATTCTATTTCAGTGACGTGGAGTCTACCCTATATAAGCTAAAAAAGGTCTGTAGTGTCATTTGTATGATTACTTGCAAGTTTAACTTCTTATAACTTAATTAAATCTAAAAATTAAAAAAAAGAAAAATGTATGGACTACCTGCTTTGGCTGCCTTTGAAATATTTGAGCTTTTAACCAGCTTTCAACTTCTTCAATCTTCTTCTTATGTACAGCAAGCTCATTCTAGAATGATGAGAAAGGATACAAGAAATGCATATAAGCTCTGATTTATGAGCTTTTATTGATACAGTTTAAGAATAGTATTTAGGTTTGTAAAAATGCCAAACAAGGTGCTTGTATATTAGAATGACCTAGCCACCCTTAATATAATTTAAATATATCCTAAGCACAGCAATTAAAAGTAATCCATCACAAATCTCCTCCTTTAATAACTCTAATTCCCCACCAATTTTCCAAATGCCAAGAATCAAAGATGAGCCCTGAAACAATCCCTGAAGGAGAGTTGCTTATTATTTACATACATACCAACAAAGCTATTTCAGAGGTGGATTATTTTAAAAGCATAAGAACGTTAATTTACTACTCCACAGTAGTTCATACCACAGGGTTCCTCATTCTGAGGGTAATAAGTTAACACACACACTAACATATTTGAAATGCACCACTAAAAATGCAAGTTCTGTGGATAAATAGCTGTGAAAACCTGAGTTTGTTCAGGATCTTCTCTACAGATAGTTGGCACAGTCAACTAATCATTCAAATTTTGCACTGGTGCAAGACAACCTAACATTTAGAAGCTACACTCTGGGTAGGACTAATTTGCAGAAATAGAATAATTCATAAGTTACACAAAAATTATTTTGTATCCCTTACCACATTTAACACTTAGAATACTTCTTGTACCTGTGTTCCTGGTTTGTATTTATCCACCCATGGTTCATTTTGAGACTGGCTTTGATTTTGTTTAGAGTGATCACAAATGTGATCTATTGAAGATGACTTTCCTTTGATTCTAGCCAGAACCTTGTTCTTGCTACTTTCTGGCACAGACGAATGATCTTTTCTCTTCTGATGCTGATTAGCCTCCCCAGATGACTTTACAAGAAGGGTACTAGATAAGATATTTGTATTCCCAAAGAAATCCTCAAATGAAGGTGCCACCCAATCTGTTACCTGACAAAACAAATTTGTGAAGGTTAATGCCAAACAGAATTTCACTTTTTTTTTGTGTGCTCTATATTCAGCTTCAGTTGATGCTGAATAACTTGGCATTATCTATCAAATATATATATTTACATCTCGAATGTTTTCAGTAACAACCAATCATTTTCCCTTATGAAAATATAATGAAATGCCATATTTGAAAAATATTTGAAGAGTAAGCTTGAATGCTTGTCCCTTTTACTAACAGAAGTTGGTCCAAAAGATCTCATTCAATATATCCATTTAATATTTGAAAAGAAGCTCTTAGAAGTCCTCAGTAGGTACTGATAATTATAAACTAATATTGGCTTGCTCACCCTTACTCAAGTTCTACAATAAAAGCCTCTTATGCACCACAAGAAGCTGAACCTAAACTCCATCGCAAGGACATTGTATCACAGCAATCTGGTGCAGCACACAGGAAATTCTGGGGCAGCTTCCTTTATTAAAGAGCCAAGATTTAGAATGAGTTAAATATGAAATGAAATAAAAAATGCAATAGCCTCTTTAGTATTTTTATATTATTCAATTTATTTTACATTGCCTCTATATTTTGAATGTTTGATATGCTGCACATTTTTGTATTTACAAATTTAAGTGTGTGTGGGGGGGTGGGGGGGGAGGGTGAGGACAGGGGAAACAGAAGGTTTTGCCAACTAAGTAGAAAACAGTTGGGCTTTGTTAAATGGAGAGATATGGAAACTAATTTGAGATTGTGGGTCAAGCACATTTACCAGAAGTTTCTCCTACAGTGATGATCAGCAATGAAATAGCTAAGAAAGCTAACATTAAAATATTTATCTTTAGGTTTTAGATTTAATAGCCCATTGACTATTTACATAACTCAGAGCTCTTTTTCAAACTTTATGTACACTCAGTGACAACACTGCACAGTTTACATGCTGTCCACATTTTCAAGGTTATCTTCACAACCACTGGGCTAGAACCATTTTTTAAAATGGAAACTTAATTCTAAAGAACAATTCCATCACGTGTTCTATAGCTGCATAATACACAGAGTCCTGCCTGAAAGAACCTAATAAGAATTAATTAAATCAATATTATCCCCATCAAGAGGGTTCCTGCATACTCAGTACTCTACACGATTTTTACAAAACCAACACATATTTGCAGAGGGCTTAAAAACTGAGTGAAAGGGATATCATCAACTGGAAAAAGAACATCAGACTTGTGCAATTAAAAACTACTTGAAGCTTAAAATAAAGACAAGTAACATCTAAGATTACCAGAACTGATTTTTTTTTTCAGATAAATTTGTGCACTTGTCAGCACAGTGTGAATTAATAGTCAGTAATGTCTTTGATTCATGTGGATTTTTCACTCTGCATCAGTGAGAGGAAAAAAACTTTTTGTACAGGAAAATGTGTTTGGATAACAAATAGTGGCACAGAGATTAAGGAACACCTGCAGTACTTGGAAGTACTTCACATTATTATTATTAGTAGTAGCAGTAGTATTTTAAGGCTAGCTTTCAAATTGGCTTCCTTTAAATTGCTCACTTTAAGCCACATTGATGGCAAAAGTAATATTCAGGTATAAGAAAGATGGTACAAAGATATCAGTACTTAAATTGACCTCAGATTTAACACAAACTGTCACATATAGTATAAAAAACAAATTAAGCCATTCCAAGAGAACACTGAAATAAACTCAGCATAAAAACAAGGAATATAGTGCAAATAATTTTTTGCCTCCCCCACCTTTCTTGCCTTCACTTACGTTTCTGATTAAGATATAAGAGTAGGAATGGCTTGTTGCTATATCATAAAATTATATTTAATTACACACACTTGTATCAAGATGTGCTTGTGCTGTAGCAAGAGTAAAGCTCCACTTTACACACATAATCCAAAACAATTTATTTTTTAAAATATTTTTTATGATCTATCACCTACTTTAGTTGGCACTATCTTTCTTCTAGAAGAATTTTTTGACATCATCAACCTTTATCATTCCCATCCGCAGTGTACGACCAGTAGCACATTAAAAAAGTGACCTGAAACTGAAAAGTGGGGGAACAGACCTTAAGAATAATCCTTTCCTTCTTCAGGAAAAGAATCTAAAGCATTTATAGCCATTAAAGATTAACTAGTCATCTAACTGAAACCTATGTGAATTACTAAGTGATATTTAAATAAATGTATATGCAAATACAAGGTTAAAAATACATCCTATCTGCTCTACAAAGGAGACTGAGCGGGGGATGGGGGCCCGAGGGCGGTTACAACCCAGCTGTAGCGTGGGCGGGACTTAGCTGCATCCCTGTAATTGGGTTATGCCCTACCCTGCCCAAGGGCAGTGACCCGGTTACAGAGACACTCAGCGTAAAGCTTTCCCTGGCACTGGCTGTAACCGTGTCCGGGCACAGTCTGGCTGTCGATACCAGCTCCCCTGACTCGCTTGTTGCTGCAGTGTACACGGGCCCATCCGTGGTTAATCAGGGGCCCCACCTGCACCAGGTGAGGGGCCCCCTCCCCGCTGCTGTCACGGTCCCAGACGGGTGCTGGGGCGGGCGAGCTGACAGAGTTGCTCTCTCCCCCTGTAGTTCGGACCCGTTGCGGGGCTCAGGCGGAGATCGAGCTCGCGGGACCCTACAGCGCAAACACCTGGGCACAGCGCGTTTCAGCCGCTGGGCCACCCGCTTCCGACGAGGAGGAGGCACCGGCCAGGCCAGGGGCGCGCACCGCCGAGGTCTCTCCGTAGCGGAGAAAAGCAGCGCCCGGAAGACCGACCCAGCCTTCTACTACCGCAGGGACCTCCCGCGCTCCGCGGCACTTAGCTGCCCGCACAGCGCCTGCCCCGCACCCCCGCCAAAGGGAGCCACCACAAACAAACCAAGCGGCGGTGGGGCAGCTGCTGACGACCTTAGTGTGCGCCGAGCCTGGAGGCTAGGGAAGGCCCCGGCAAGGTGCTCACGTGTCTCCTAGGTGACTAGTTGCTGCTTTTGTCCCAACAGCCAGCGAGACGCCAGACATGCGGCGGCCCAACATCCTACTTACGGGTAAGAGACCGTGAGAGCCGTGCCTCTGGCGCCGGAGCAGCGACATGGGATCCCGGGGCAGCGCGGGGCCGCCCCGCCGCCTGCCCTGGGCAGGCTGAGCCGCAGGTCCCCACGTTGCACAGGGTCACTGAGCGAAGAGGGGTTCGCTGCTGGCCTGAGCGATCAGTACGAGATTCATAGCGACACTGCAGCCGAGTCTGCAAATGTTCGTTTCCTTTGTCCCTGCCAGTGGGGATCTGGGAAGTGGTCGTGAAACTTGGGAACTGCTTTGGGTTAAGTGGCTTAACGATTGCAAAGGCTAGTGATCCCATTGCATGTTTCATTAATTTTGTTAGATCCATTATCAGCCTTCGATACGTCACGGTCTGACGGAGGAATTTTTTCCCATCAGTTCTTTGCCGTGAATGGCAGTGATGCATTCACACAAGTAGTCTGACAACTGGCTTTCAAACTTAGGGTTTCGGCAGAGTGTTGCTAGGACTTTACCGTGACCATATGATACCAGAGTTAGTTTGGGTCAGTTTTAAGTTGCATAGTGTAGAGCAGATTTCACTTTTATTTGTTGATGTCATTCAGATTTGTATTTTCTTGCCGAACTTTCTTCTCCCCCTTCTCCTCTGTTATTCTGTGTGGGTCGGGTGTTTGGTGGTGGTGGTTATTTTGTTATGGGGTTTTCTGGTGCACTTATCTGGCTGACTTATTTAAAGAAACATTTGTGGCCTTTAAGATCTGCACAGCTGACTTGGTTCCTTTAAATCTAAGCTTTATTTTTGAGTCATTTTAACATAATTGTGTTTCTGTTTATCAGTGAGTTTATGGTTGTGATGTACCATAATGTATTTATTTGCTAAAGTACTTATGTTAGGTATGATACAAATACATTATATGAATGCCATTGATTTAAATAACATATAACTTTATATAATTTGTTTTATAGGTACTCCTGGTGTAGGAAAGACTACACTGGGCAAAGAGCTTGCAGCAAGAGTAGGAGCAACATACGTTAATGTGGGTGATTTGGCAAAAGAAGGTATGTTGTATAACAGAATACTCCATTGAAGCATTTAGAATATATTTGCTTTGTATAAGACAGACTTGCAAACAGTAGATAAGTATATATTAAATGTGCATTATTGCTGCTTAATCAAAATTATATATTTTTGGTGGGTTGATGGGCATGATACACTTAGGAGAGCTTGTAATAATTTCTTTTGAGATAAATGCTAGACTTATGTTCATGTAAATCCTGTTAAAATAATAAGTAATCCTTGTTAAATGAATCATCTAATAGGATGCCACCATATTGACCATGTATCTGTCCTTCATACTGAGTGCATTTACAAACTATAGTTCAGACCGATGTCCGCTATACACATTTTTTTCTTACACTTTGCCCTGTTTTCTTCCTTTCCTCAATCTCTCCAAATGTGATTTGATTATATTAAGGCAAAGTCCTACCTTAGTGCTGACAAGCCAGGTTAGAATAATAGGGATATTAGCAAATGACTTCTTCTTTGGCAGTCTATTCCCCTCCCCTTCCTTTTTATTTATCTTCCTCACCAGTATAAAAGCAAGAGCGTGATTTAGTGCTCAGTACTGTATTTACTTGTTCCATCTAAAGAACTACATTATGAGAAAAATTAAGGTTGCACAATAAGGCACTCAGGAGATGCTAAAGTCAAAGTCTCGTGCATAACCTTAACTCTGCTCCCTTGAGCATAGGCATTACATTCCAGTCTAATTATGTGATATGCCATTTCTCAAATAAAATACTTTTTTTTCCTACCAACTCAGGGCTCTGTCTTGCAATCCTCATTCATGCAAACAGCCCTTCTGGCCCCTCTCCTTCAAGTGGACCCATGTGGATACAGGGGTCTGCATGGGTGACATGTGAACTGCTGGTTGAGGAAGGCTATCCCCCAGCCCTGCCCCTTCCACACAAGGTCTCGCCTCTTCCACAACTGCTGGAACCCAGAGCTCCTACACTGTGGCTGCTGGCCCTCGCCTAGGCTAGTTCCCCCAGCGTGTTGGGTGGCATGGCCCCAGGCCAAGCTGGGGCCACTGCACAGGGGGAACCCCAGAGCAGGGAGGGTATGAGGCAGAATGAGGGCAGGGTCATACCTGGCTGTTTGGAGAGGCACAGCCTCCCCAGCCTATGATACCCACCGCCCATGGGGCTCTGCTTGTGTAGATTCAGATGCAAGATCAGGCCTTTGTAATCAGTGGGACTATTTGCATCAGTGAGGACTGCTTATAGGCATGAGGGTTGCAGGATGAAGCTCTGAGACAGCTGAAAGATAAACACTTGGGAAAGTGTTTAACTGCGCCTTTTTAAAGGTGTAGCACAACCAGCTGCTCACCATACTTCCCACCCTTATACAATTGCACCTCATGTTCTCATTTCCCTGAGCAGCTTTGCCATATGGAGGCATAATCCGTTGCTAAGAGGCTTGTGGTATGACAGATTTTTTTAATAAAGTGTGGATAAAAATTGATATTTTTAAAATGAATTGGATTTTTTATTTAAATTAAAAACAGGATTTAAAAAAAATAAACTTTAAACTTGAAATAGGTTGTCAATGTAAAGGTCTACACTTGTGATAATCTGTTAATGATTTAAATTAAATACCAGAAATAATATGAAGCAGTACATATTTGCAGACATGTTTTAAAGAAACCCCAGACCACTGAACTGGTGGAAGTCAATGGCTATGCACCTAGAACCAGAATTCTCTGAAGTGCTAAACCAGCTTTTACAACAAGGAGTCCTTGTGGCATCTTCGAGACTAACACATTTATTTGGGCATAAGCTTTTGTGGGCTAAAACCCACTTCATCAGATACATGGAATGGAACATACAGTAGGGAGGTATAAATACACAGCATATGAAAAGATGGGAGTTGCCTTAAAGTGGAAGTGGGCTATTCTCAGTTGACAAGAAGGGGTGGAAATCACTTTTGTGGTGCTAATGAGGCCAATGTAAAACAAGGTGGCCCATTTCAAACAGTTGACAAGAAGGTGAGAGTATCAGCAGGGGGAAATGAGTTTTTGTAGTGACCCATCCACTCCCAATCTTCATTCAGGCCTAATGTGATGGTGTCCAGTTTGCAAATTAATTTCAGTTCTGCAGTTTCTCAAGTTTTTGTTGTTGAAGAATTACCACTTTTAAGTCTGTTGTTGAGTTCTCCAGGGAGACTGAAGTGTTCTCCTACTGGTTTTTGAAAGTTATAATTCCTGATGTCAGATTTGTGTCCATTTATTCTTTTGCGTAGAGACTGTCTGGTTTGGCCAATGTACATGGCAGAGGGGCATTGCTGGCACATGATGGCATCTATCACATTGCTAGATGTGCGGCTGATGTGGTTAGGTTCTATGATTGTGTCCTTTGAATTGATATGCGGGCAGAGTTGGCACCGGGATTTGTTGCAGCTTTTGACAGCTGTAGCTTCTTCTGAGGTGCAGAGAGAATATTTTCTTCTTTTCAGTTTATTCAACTAGTTCATACAAAATTAGGAAACCAATTGGAAGTTGAAGAAGAAGGAGCACTTGTTTTCTTCTTCCAATCTATGAATCAAAAACTAGCTGCAACACAATGATATCTACTAGTTCGAAAATCTTGAAGGACACGGAGGCTAGAAATAATCATTTTGATTCACTAAGTGCAGAGAGTATTCCTTTGTTTAATATATTAGTTAGTTTTAAGGGCAAAACATGTTTTGATAAACCTTTTTCTTATGTATCTTAAGGTACTTCAATTAAAAATGCATAATAACAGAATTTTTATTAAATAAATATTAATCTAAAGAGAGCCTAACATAAATCACAAATACATTAATCATCTAGTAAATAAGAAATGCATCATTAACCATATTCTAAAATCATAAAAACTGTAAAAAATCAAGAATTTGTATAAATGTAAATTAAGCTATATAATTGCTTAAATACATTTGTATAGATGTAGTGTCCTCCTGATTAGCAAAAAGAAGCACCAAATGTAGTGTAAAGGCCATATTTAGTTGAAAATCAGTATGTTAATTGGTACTAACCAAGAAGAATCAACTTTTTTCTTTAGGAAAATAACTAAAAAGTTCAAATGCAAAACATGATTAAAATCAGTTATTTAAATCCAGGTTTCCTGTTTGCTGATTTAAATTAATCCACCCAGCTTTAATGTTCAAGCTAATGCTTTTATCCATGGCATTTGTTTTATTGAAAAAATCCTATACAATAGGTTTTAAAGAATTTGAAAAATAAACAATTTCTTTTGACTGTCAGTGTCAGATTAACATAAATGTGTTTAATTGTACTATCATTATCTCACAAAATAATGTGGACTCTTTTTTTTTCTATAGGGGAATTATATGAAGGCTTTGATGAGGAATATGAATGCCCAATTTTGGATGAAGACCGAGTGAGTCCAACTTAAAAATCTAGCATATTGAAGGTGGGAGTGGGGTAAAACACAGTAAAAGCTGTGTTATCTGGCACTTTACCAACCGGAAAGCTCTGTAAACCGGCATTTCTGATCTTCATTGAAAGTCTGGTTTATAGTCTGGTTGGTGTGGGGCCAGCAGGCTTCCTATCTGGCTTTGCGTGGTTCCCTGAAGGCAGCGACATGTCCCTGCTGCTCCTAGGCAGAGGAACGGCCGCGAATGGTTCGGGCTGTGGGAGGGGGTGCAGGGCACGGGCTCTAGGAGCTGTGGGGGCGGTGCCTGCAGGGGGAGGCAGCGTGCAGAGCCACCTAGCCATGCCTCCACCTAGGAGCAGCAGGTACACATCGCTGCTTGCGGGGAGCTGCCCAAGGTGAGCGCCGCCCAGATCCAGCACCCCTGCCCCAAGGCCTCTCCCACACCCAAACTCGCTCCCAGAGCCCATGCCCCAACTCCCAGCCCAAACTCCCTCCCTCTTAGTTAATCAGAATTTTTTACTTACCGGGAGTCCCTCATTTCCCCCAACATTGCCAGAGCTTTTACTGTACAAAGAAGCTGCATCTAGTTTTCTTGTGCCTTTGTCTGACTTTTCTGTAGGTAATTGATGAACTAGAAGACAAAATGAATGAAGGTGGAGTTATTGTTGATTATCATGGCTGTGACTTCTTCCCAGAACGCTGGTTTCATATAGTATTTGTACTTCGCACTGAAAACTCATTTCTGTACGACAGACTTGAAAACAGGTAAATCAGTGGAGTAAATGAAGGTGAATTGTCATGCAGATTCACAGGAGCCCTTTCAAGAGTATAAATTCAGGGTTTTGTATAAAATAAGGATATAAAGTCCTCTTATTATTATTTTTTTTAATGTGTGTGTGTGTTTTTTGTTTTTGTGTTTAGAGGGTACAAAGGGAAAAAACTACAGGACAACATTCAATGTGAGATTTTCCAGACTATTTATGAAGAGGCAATGTCATCTTATAAGGAAGAAATTGTACACCAGTTGCCGAGTAACACGCCAGAGGACCTGGAGCGGAATTTAGATCAGATTATACAGTGGATAGAGCAGTGGATGAAAGACAACAACTGAATTCTGAGGAAAAAGGAACATGTTGGACTTTTTTTTTTTCCAGGTTATTCTGGCCATTCAATAAATGAAATTTGTAATTGTGGCATGGTAAACTAACCTTTTTTAGTCACTGAAGTGCAATTGAACGATAACTTTTTAATCTGAGAAAAACTGAGAAATTATAATAATGATTGATCATACTGATGAATCTGATATGGTTAAATTAAAATAATGCCAACCACTGAAGGATGGATTTTGTATTGAGAGGAGCTGGCATCTATATTATAAAATGGTTATAGAGGGAAATCAGGAGCACACACAGGCTGCTCTTACATTAGAGAAAGCTCCAGGCTACAATGGAGTGAGTATATATTTGAAAGCTTATGTTCATGGTAGGTATGTGAAATGCATGACTTGTGAGCTGTTTTCAAATACTAAGATATTTTAAAATAGCAGAAGCTTCTTCATAGCATAGGGGAGCATATTATCAAATATTTCTTCATAACATAAACCATTGCTTATTTTATGTTGATTATTTTATTCACTTTGGGTGAATTTTAAAGTTTTTGTGAATGGAAAGTTTAAAGAAGCAGCACTATATCATTTTGTGGAAAGGGGAATGTGAATTATTGTTTGAAGACAGATGTAAGTGACTACAGTGAAACCTGAGCTTCAGTGCCTCTGGTCACCTGTCATAATGGCCAGTTAAATGTTAGTCCCTGCAAGAATCCCTCTTTATTAATTGTACTACATTATGCAGCAGCTGTTATTACAGCTACAATACTAGCAGGTTCCTTGCTCGTCATTATTTATAGGTTTCTGTAACTGTTTGAGAGGCCTGTGTGCATGGAAATGATGTGATTGGATTCTGTTAACAAAGATCTGTGTGAAAGGATAGCATTTAATTTGGATGGGTTTATCTTGTTTGTTCATGGTGGGTTGTGAGCTCTCTGAGCCAGATCCTGCAAGTTACATTCCCATTGAACACAATGGGAGTGTTGCTTGAATAAAGGACTACAGAATCTTAGAGTAAGAAACTGCCAGAGTTGCTTAAACTTATCACCTGCTGGAAGAGGAAAAATGTCTTAACTGGTGTTCAGATAGATTTGAAGGACTATAATGCAAACAAGTTCTGTGTATACTTCCATAAAGCAAATTTTGGTCTTTTTTTTTTTTTTTTTTTTTTTTTTTTT